TGCTACATACACTGTTGAAGGTTACATTGTGTCTGTGAAAGTTTAAAGACCTGCAGGACAACGATAAACCCCAAGTCTAGGAAGGCATTATCTATAGAGGGGACATGGGGAGGGAGTGGCTAAACTGACTTACCCTAGGAACCACGGCTAGTACCAAGAGGCCTAGAATCAGAGAATTCAGGTTACCAGGAACCAGCCCTGATGTGCGGGGCTGCTCTAGTAAAAACGGCGTTTGGCTGCCTAGAGTACAGACTCCCACCTCCCTCCTAACTGCGGATGACCACCTACCCTGGTTTGTTTTCCTGGCCCAGGAATTATGTTCAGCACACATATTTATAAATGAACTTAATTTTGTTTTATTACGCTTACATCATCTTTGAAATAAAAGACACGAGGAGATATTACAAAGTCGAGGGCAGAGAAGGGCCACCGGGCCGGTGGGCCAAGCACACTGACAGTACTGGTTTTGCTTGGGGCGTACCAGTGAGCCTTACAGTGCTCACTACCTAAGCCCAGCCGCGCAGTAACTGATTGAAGCCTCACTGTAGCCCAATTAAACAGAAATGATTATTAATCCCATTTTACAGATGGGGAAGCAGTTTAAGTAACTTGCCCAAAGCTATACAGCTGCTGTCAGCAACATGATGAAGTTAAAACTAATCCTCAGTATCCTCTCAGGCCAACCATAAAGAATTAGAAATTCCACCAGAAACATGAAATTTGGACAGATTGTTTTTCAGTGCAGAGGCCATTACGCAAGGATAATTCAGGTTATTTCTGGAACTTCGTGGAATAAAAGCAGTTCGTGATGGGGGGGGCTCAAATGTTGGAAAAATTTTAGAATCAGGTAATAGCTTATAAGCTTAATAATCGTTATGTAAAAAGCTTTCATTTCAGAAACTGAAGGTAGGACCCACCCTGACTCCGGGAGACCATAAGCAGTACCACCTCTGTGCCTCGGGACCACAAGTCATCAGTCAAGATAGTATCTGAGCCACCCTGCTCCCGGGAAGGTCGCCCACCACCCAGGACACAGCTAAAGACCACCACCCAGAGGGAGAATGATGCAGTTTTTTTAACCCAATTAACTTTACCCTGAATTCTAAACCCCTCACCTACACTCTGTCCTCCTTATAAAAAGGGCCATTTTAAAATGGAATTTAAGATGGTCTGTTAGGGTACAACCCCACCCCCGGCCCCCGCCACCCCGGTCTTCTCAGATGGCCATCTGAATAAAGCATCATAGAGCCAATTCCTGTCTCTGCTCATTGGGTCTCGTAGGTGACAGGCGCCACAAACTCCAGCTTTTCCAGTTTCATTAGTACTTCTACAACAGCCAAATTCTTTATCCTAATCACTGTATTTGTCGATTTTTAAATGGTTTTAAAAAACAGGCAACATAATTAGCATTCCCTTCTGTTGAGTTAAAGAAAATCCAGAACTTTCCTTTGGATGGCAGAACTAAGCAGGATCCAGAGAGCAAGGCTTCGAGCCTGACACCCAGTAATCCAGAATGCCCGTGATATGCAGAGGGCTGCCTCCAAAACCGCAGCACCCGAGTGGCTTGGTTTTGGCCGTGAGAGCTTTCCCATGCCTTATTAGGTGGTTTCCCCAGCCACCAATACCCTGTCCACCCTTCCTCTTCCCCAAACGGTGGAACCAGCCTAGCCATTCCACGGTTTCAAATAGGTTCAAGTTCTCCTTCCCCAACCTAGAAAAATCCAGACCACTCAACTCTCCAATACCCTTCCAACTCTCATAGGAGGTACCAGATACAACTGGTCAAATGTAATTAAAGCACTTATCAAATACTTGATTGGCTAATACAAATGCACCCTTCATAAATGACATTATTTTCAGACTAAAACTGATTATTGATTGAAAATAGATAAAAGGCATTCATCCAAAACTCCTGGAAGGTGAGAAATGGAATTCTGTTGATATTCAGCAGATTATGACATAAATGCCTATCTTGCATCACAATCAGCAGTAGCTATCAAATGAATATATATTTGTACATAATAGATTCTAGCATCCCTAGAGAGCCTCCCTGCCTGTGCTAGGCACACACCACTCAACTGGTTAGCCATTACACAAGTGACAGTAACGGGCAGCTTGGCTTCAGTGAACACGCACGACCACACCACATGCTGTACAAGTATCACCTCACTAACACTGGACTATTTCCGCTTGAGGAATCATCCAGCAATACGGCCTTACTGCATGATTCCTTTATAAAAAGTTGAAAAACAGCAGTTATATTTTTACATCTCTGGTGCTAAAAGCTAACAGTTGTGTCCTTTGGGACAAGTGAAACAGGGTAGGGAATGGAAAAGCAAAGGAGATTCTGGACGCCGCTAAGGCTCCAATCCCCGCCCATGGAGGCTGCGGACCGCGGGTTTGTTCGCCCCGCAGTAACTCATCAAGTTATACACAAAATGTGTATGTTTCCCGTAGGTAAATTACACCTCAGTAAGTCTGTTAAGTAAGGGTGGTGCTGACGGAAGACTACGGCAAGAGCGGGCACTGTCCGGGGTCCTGGTTCTGATGCTGACTTCTCCAGCAAATGGCCTGCGATCTGGGAGAGTCACTTGGAGGGCCTCAGTGTCTTCATTCCTTACAAAGAGGTGAGATTATACAGACTCTCCAAGTACTCCATCACTTCCCTTTATTTTTGAGGTAGGGAAAAGGAAGGGACAACTGGTGAGGTAGAAAAAAACAACTCAAAAGCAAGTGTCTCTACCGTGAGGACATTATGGAAACACAAACCATAAAGCTTCTCCACATTCTGAATGGTAATGTTCTATACAGCAGTGCCATGTTGGAACGGCAGGTTCTAAGCTCCTCTCAGGAGAGATGTTGGCTGCAGTCACTGATGCACCTTCATTAACAGTATCAGTATGTTAAAAGTTTTAGAAATAACATTTCCAAAAAGTCAAAGTGGGACCAGAGCTGACAAAGCAAGTCAGCAGCCATACACTGTGTTATCAGCATGACCTTGGCATAACCCTGAAGGCCTGGCGGCATAAAACAAGGCCATTTTAACACACTCCCATTTACCCAAATATTCAGGGAAGCGAGCTTCTTGGCTTAGTTAATATTCTGGTGAACCACCTTCCCATATATACCAGAACAGGGTTTTACATTTCCAAAGAATCAATTAAGTCCCTTTAGGATAATTTAAGTGATTCAGGATTCTTTTGCTTTTTTGTTTAAAAAGATTTTATTTATTAATTTTCAGAGAGAGGGGAAGGGAGGGAGAAATAAAGGGAAATATCGATGTGCAAGATATACATCGCTGGGTTGCCTCTCAATATGCCCCCAACGGGGGGGGGGGGCGCCGCGGGCAGGCAGGGGTGGGGGGAGGGGACCCACAACCCAGGCATGTTCCCTGACTGGGAGTCAAAACAGTGACTTTTCGGGTTTGCAGGCTGGCGCTCAACCTACTGAGCCACACCAGCCAGGGAAATTCAGGATTCTCAAAAGGTCTCCTGAGGAGTGACTCACTGACTAAGAACAATCATCTGCTACTGGGAAAAACAAATGTTCTTAATCAGTACAGAAAATTTAGAGACTAGCATTAGCTAATACACTGACCATGGAATAAAAAGCATTATCAGCCCTGGCAAGAAATAAATACCCTTCAGCGACTATAAAACCAAAAATCTTTCTTTAGATCACCTTTCATAGCCTAAAGTAAAACAAGAGCTTGGTTTAAGGTTAAGACACATTCCTTTGAGTTGCTGAAAGCTAACATGAGGAAAAACATCTTAAACGTATTTCATCTTAAGTACCCTCTTAATTCTTTGTTTTTCCATCAACTCTCATCCATTTTCTGTTTATTAACATGCAGATGGCTGCTAGATAATTAGAATGGAGATTAGCCCCTAAATTATATGGTTAATAAGCAGAAATTGAGGTGGGCCACAAAGGTTACGTTTATTTCCCTCAGCAGGCTATTATCTGAAAGCACCCAAAGCTGGGATCCTCTCTGCATGTAAATTAAAGTCTAGCTACTGACTATCAACCTACAAAATTCTTATTAAGTACTCAACCTCACTCCTTTCCCTTTACCACGATGGTTTAAATGAGGTTGAGGTGAAGGCAAGAATTAGGAGAAAAGGTCACGATGACACGGGGAGGGCACAGGGCCCCTTCTCCAGCTCCAGGAAGACGGTGCAGCTCTTTCCTTTGCGGTGCCTTCATAGCCTGTAGTGATTTTTATAACCAATACTAGTTCAAGGCAATAATCAGGTGTTACGAATACTCCTGTACACGGCTACCTCTTACATACTTACACTTTCCCCAAACGTAGGCCGCTGCTGAAACTGGCCAATAGCTAAGCAAAGACGTTTTAAAGCAGGTGAAATGAGGGCTCCATTGCAAAACCACCTGGATCACAAAAAGCCCGTATCTTCAAAATGTCGGATCAAAAGTAAATATATATGTATATGTATATGTATGTGTATATATGTATATATATGTGTGTGTGTGTATATATGCAAAGATAAACACCAACAAAGATAGTATAGTGTACTTTTATGCTTCCTGCAATCTCAATACTCTTTAAAAACTGGGGCAACTGGGGCCAAGGGCCAAAGTGTACCCAGTTGGCTGGGGCTCCATTCCATCTCAATCACGTGAGCCCGGCACAACACAGCTGCACAGGCTCACCCCCAGAGCTGGAAGGGCAGACGGGGGAAGGCGCCGGGCGGCCCTAGGCCCGCCGGCCCCAACTTGAGCCCTGAGGGAAATGCCGTCCGCCTCGCCCCGACACCCCAGGTCGCAAACGGCCGGCTCGGCGGAATCTGCTCTGCCTGTTTCCCAGGGAAGTGCCGCAGCTCCTTCGCGGAGCAGCAGGTACCGGCCCTGCGCACACGCCTGCGCAGTGGGCTCCCCTCGCCAAGCCCAAAGGGGAGCGAAAGCGCGAGACCCGGTACAGCGCGCGGGCCGCGTCCTGCGGGAGACGCCCTCCCCAGGCTGAGGGTCCCAAAGCTTACCCGCGCCCAAGAGGCTGGCCAGGACGAAGAGAGGGTACATGGCGCCGCCTGACCCTGCAATCTGCAATGCAGAGCGTCAGCTGATCCTTCGCTGGTATAAACCTGCCCACCACCCCGCCCCTCGGCCCGAAGCCGTCTACTGCGCAGGCGCAAGCTCCGCCCGGCCGGCCCTGCCCAAGCGCCGCAGCCTGACTCAGCGCCGCACAGGGCGCCTGCGCGAAGCAAAGGAGGGGCTGGGTGAGAGGGACAGACCGGATGGGAGGAGGACCGGAGTGAGGACAACGTGCGTTGGAAGGGAAGAAAGAGACAGTCAAAATGGAAACTAATGATTGAATAAATCAGCGTTTGGATTATATGTAAAATACCTTTTAGGCCTCTCATTTTTCTTATGGGTCGTTTTCCATTATTAGTACCATTTTATAGATGATTGTCCATACTCAAAAAGGTTAACCGACTTGAAGTTCTCACTGTCAGAATTCAAACTCACCACTCAAACTGTGTCCTAGATGATGTTTGTATTATACACCTGGCAGGGGCAGTGTGTAGCTTCTTTCTGGGCCCTGTGTTCTCTCTTAATATTGCATATTTATAATCACTTTTCTTCTCCGTGACTCCCAGACAGGGTTTTCGGTATTAAATTCCCTCCCAAGTTCCTACCATGTTTTGTCCGTGGACTTGGAGGGAGTGGAGGAAAGGGATTGAGGAGTAACATGGAGAATAGGAAGTGCCTCAGCCATTGGAGAAGGGAATAAGAAGTCCAAATTTGAGAACCCTGCTAAAAATTGGCCAAGTGCCTTGAAGAAGAAAGAGGCCACACCCTGTCCAGCCCTCTACCACCATCCCAAGGGAAGGAAAGGAGGAAAATGTCGCCTATTAGGGCAAACCTTTAAAGGTCAGTTAGTCCCATTCCATCATTGTGCCAAAGGGGAAACAGGCCTAGAGAGGTAAAGACATTTATCAGTCACAACTCTTCTGGTCAGGGTAAACCCAAGGATTACACCCACCTCCTACAATCTGTAACTGTTCTTAGGAACAGCTCACTGACATAGGTCTCAGAGCCTTTGGTTCTCCTCTTCCTCCTCCACCCCAACACTGTTGCTTTTACTTCCCACTGAGGGGCTGGATGGGGAAGTACAAATGCACCACAGTGGGCGATATGAAAGGACAGATTAAAGTTGAGACAAGATTTAGTCTAGACTGGATACCTCACTGGTTAGCCCCAATGGCCAGATGGAGACCCCATGGCTGCCCCATCTGTAGGCTTCCTAAATCATGAGGTAGCCCAACCCAAGAACCAGATAAATACAAGGGAGGTGGAGCTCTAGGATACAGGCCCGTCCCAGCTCCTTGCTGAAGAAGCAGGCAAAACATGCCTGTGTTCCATGCAGAGGTTAAAAGACAACTCCAAGCCAAAAGAGGCCTATAGATCTTCAGATCATATGCTCTCATTTTGGTGGAGTTACTGAGCTTTCAGAGCTACTTAATGAAGGAACCTGAACCAACTATGACTCTTTTTTAATACTGCCTCCTACCTAACTAGAGGCATATGTCAGTGTTTTTAAGATAACTTTTGCTGCCTTTCATTTACACACCTGGAACACGACAGCAGTATGTTCCTTCATCCACCTCATTCCCTATAAGGACAGAATTTTAATAAATAATAGAAAAGCAATGTATACAATATCTGTCCAGATAGTATCCATCCCTGCACTATGAAAAATATTTTGCAAGAAGATACAAGAAACATTGTACATAGGACAATGAAGCCTCAGTCCCCTACAAAGTAGGCACCTTGGGACCTCACATAGTTCTCCCAATCACCATCAACAATTGCCCTGTTGTAATTTCCTGAATCCCATCGATGGTCTGAAATCTCTTCCCCTTCAAAGGCGATTTTAGTTTTAGGAAAAGCCAGAAGTCACAGGGTGCGAAATCTGAGCTGTAGGGGGAGTCACCTGGGTGATTTATTGTTTTTCCAAAAAACTCTGCATGAGGTGTGATGCATTGTTGTGATGAAGCTGCCAATTGCCAGCTGCACATAGCTAAGGACTTCTGAATCATCCAAATAGTTTCTGCAGAGGACTGTTTAAGCTTAACACAAAATTTGATGCAGATTCATTGCTTTACTTGCTCATTCATTTTGAATGCAACAGCCACACAGTACACATGCTCACTCCACAGCGTCTACCGCCTCCACTGACTAGTACAGTGAAGTTGTCATTATTCATCCATATGCATTCCGGTCCACTCTCCTTGGCTGCCAGGTCACATGGATGTCACACAAACCATTCTCATTATGTTAACAGTGGTTGGACTTTTTCTGGACAGACTAGATACACACACACACACACACACACACACATATATGTAACATATACAAATAAATGTATATAACATATTTTAACATATATTAAATATATTATATATTTAATATATTAAATAAATATATAAATTAATTTATATTAATATTCTTTCCATATATATAAACAGTAAGGAGATCATTATTATAACTTTTTACCAAGTCAGTAGGTGCTTAAATCCTCTTAAAATACCTTCTTAACCATCTGTGCATAAACAACAAGAGCCATGAAGCTATGTGGACCCTTTGATCCTATCATACCTTTCCTAGTTATGTACCCCCCAAGGAAATAATCCAAAGCTAAGAATTATATTCTCCAGAGAGTTCACAAAAAGGCCCTTTATAGCAGTGGAAACTGGAAAGATCCCAAATGCTGAACAATGACAGGCTAAGAAAACCAGCCTGAACAAAACAATGATACTTGAAGCAGCTTTGGAGCATGAAGCAGAAGCAGTAAGCGCCGAGGGAGCCACGGCCCTCCTCCCGGGTCCCACGGAGGGTACTGGTTATTGAATGAGAAGAGGAACAAAGAATCAGAGGCGGGAAGAGAGTCTGCTGACTTTGAGTCAACTTGTCTTTGCATTATTTCACTCATTACAATGCCCATGCTACTCTGTGCTTTTTAAAGAAAACAATCACAGGAAAATTTACAAAAGAAAATAAAAAGCCCTTTATTTTCTCCTGTGAGCTGAAGTTTTCAGGGAACTGAAAAGATAATTTTTCCTCAGAAATGTGAGCCATCCTGGAGCTCTGACAGAGTTCCCCATGGCTTTCCAGATCTGGGTCCCAGTTCTACATGAGGCCCCACTTCTAGTGTCTGACATCTCTTGAAATCCCCACCTGCCAGCTCTTCTTAATAATTCCCTTGTTCACTCCAAAGGGCTACCATTTGTTACTGCTTCTACAATTGAAAAAGTCCTTGGCCAAGACAGCTGATGTAATAGAGGTATCCACTGTGTAAGCCCAGAATACCTGCTTGGCGCCAAAGCTCCACTCTGGCTCCACAAACTCTGGCTTCTCCACCCTGGAACTTTGTCCTGCCCTGGAAAGGCAACCCCCCATCCCCAGACAACAAGCTCAGGCTTCTCTCCCTCCGGTATCTTCCTCAACAAGACCTCTGACCTCCAGGTTCTCCTGTCTGCATTTGCCTCTCTGCCCAACCTGGACCCCTCAGGCAACCACTCAGATAAGCCTTGGCCCCTCCCAAGGGCCCCTCTCCCCATAAAACTTCAGTCACCCAACCAATCAATTCCCAGCCTCTGATTTCTTCTTTTCTGTCTCCTCCAGCGTGGGGCTGCTGGAGAATCAACCATCCCATCCAGCCTAACCAAGCCTTCTGTGCTGCAACTCAGCACCTAGTCAACCCTCCCGTGTGGCTTAGTCTGCAATTGTCTCCTAGTAGCATTCACCTCTTTTTCCTTGATTTTGATAGTTAGTAATCAAACCCTCTGTTTCTGGCTGGGCACATGGCTACCCAGAATAAACATATTTCCCTGCCTCCCTTGCACCCACAGGAGTTCATTCTGGTTAATGAGATTAAAAAAAAAAAAAAAAAAGTTTCAGTTTTGTGATTAAAAAGAAAAAGACACATCCAGTGCATGCATTTCACAAATAGTACTGCCAGGACACTGGCTATAGTGCTGAAGGAATGTTCTGGAAGGTCCCAACTGAGCCAGGTTGTTGTCTTGGAGGGTTGGTTGGTCCCAGGGGGTGAGCAGGCAGGGGGTGGGCTCCTTGGTGCTGAAAGGGAGACCTGGCGGGGCACTGCACCAATCTAACTGTCCCTTCTCTCGGTTGTCCCCCCACTTCTCTCACATTTCTTTTCAGAATACGGAGCCTGGGCTTTCACGCAACTTTGCAATCTCTGTTCCCTCAAACTCCATGATCCCATGGAACTGTGATTCCAGCCCTTCAGCTCCACATCCTCTATTGTTGCCTAAGTGAGCTATGCAGTTTCACATTTGTGTGCCCTGTAAATACCTCCCTTTCCTACCTCAAATTCATTCCCTTTCCTACATCCTTCCCTGCTGAACTCTTATTCAACCTTCAAAACCCAATTAAAATGACACTCCCAGAGGAAAGCCTTTCCTCTGCTTTAGGAGATGGCAGAGGCTCCTTCCTCACCGTCCCCACTGCTCTCTGTTTACTACTTTAATTGCTTTGCTTTGCTTTGCTTTGCTTTGCTTTGCTTTGCTTTGCTTTGCTTTGCTTTGCTTTGCTTTAGTGAACTCAATGAGGGGAAGTGACTTAACCAGTCACACAGTCAGTAAATAACAGAACTGTGGGACCAGAACCAGTTCTCAGGAATTCCAGTCCTCTCAATTATTAGCTTAATTTCTCTGTCCCAAGTACCCACTTCTCAAGTAGCTGTCTTGTTAATGTTTTAGCAGTACATTTATTGAACACCTAGTACATACCAAACAGTGTACTAGTTGCTGAGGACCCTGAGTTGAAAGACCCACGCTGACTGGCAAGGCCACACAAACACAAGGGGCCTGGTGTTACCGTGCCCCCTCTGAGGACGCCAGGGTGCCCACCAAGCCCACGGCACCCTTGGGGTCCTTGGCCACTGGCCCATTTGGAACCCGAGGCCCCGCCACCCTCTGGGCTAGGGAGGAGCAGGTTCCCAGCAGCTAGTCTATTCTGAAGGCTGGCTGGCTCCCAGGATGTGGCCAGGCCTCAGATCTCTCTCTACCACAGGGACAGTCATAGTGGACTGTGCCTGGCTGGACCAATCAGGTGCTCTGTGGGGAGCTCCAGCATGAGCTGCCCAGAGTGAATGTT